TGAGTAAGGTACTTTGTGCTCTTACGACAAAGACCAAGGATGGCACATGCAATGGCTTCAGTATTTAAAAAGAGTGTGTTCGCTTGGATAAGATGAATTACATGAACCACAGGGAGGTCCAGGACATGACAGACCTGAGATGTGGGTCTAATAAAGAATCAAAGATGGCTTCCTCTCATAGAAGGCACCTCATGAAAGAACAATATAAACCAGATTTTTTTTCCATTTAAAGACCCCACTTGTCTCCACTTTGAGGATCAGGTATGATTTAAAAAAAAGCTATAAGACACCAGCTTCAGGAAGAGACCATAAGTCTCAAAAAAAGGTCATAAGACACTAGCTCTAGGAAGAAACCAGAAAATCCAATCATGGTCATAAACCCCTCTCCCACAGAACAGCTTGGGTATAACCACGGAAATGAGGAAATATCTTATCTCAGAATGGTCAATCAGTGCTGTGCAGTCCTATTTCATTATATGGTTAAATGATTATGGCATATTACTCCAGACTACAGATCACCTGTGACCAATGAAATTTTAGATTACCTAATCCTAGTAAGATTTAAAACCCATATAGGAGTTTCTCCAATTCCCTATAAAAAAAAAAAACCTTGTGTGCCTTTGTCTCAGGTAGCCACTTCAAAGAATTGTTGATCCTCTCATGCTGGGTGTTTCTGCAGAATAAAAGCTCTTTGATTTTGCACATTATCTGAGTTGGAGTTTTCCTTCAGTCATTTCAGACACTTTCACACACTGACAATAGGAAACTCCAGAGCTCTTCTCCAGGAGTCCAACAATCTTTTTGCGCTGAGAGATTTTGCATAAAGCACCAAGGAATTCCACATGGGTCATGCAATTTCTTCAAGACATTTAAATCTATATGTAAGCTTCTGTTTTCTTCCTCAAAAATTTGATATAGCAAGTAATATTAAGAAATGTTAAATGCTGACCATAGAATATATTTGATAAACGGGACTCAGTAAGGAAAAAAAATAAAGCTTAACTTATTCTCACTGTGCCTGTCACATGACGCTTACAGAAAGATATAAGAAACATTTGTGTATTTTAAGCTTTGTTTCAGAAGTTATCGATAGGCCACAGAAAATATACTGAGGTTGATAAACCAAAAAATTTCTTGGAGTTACTTAGAGGAACATGTAAAATTGAAGAGTAGACTTCCACCAAGTGGCCCTGGTGGGAACAGAGTGGCCTAGTGACATGGTCCCTGCCTCTGGGGCAAAGCACCTGGTGTGAGCCTCCATGAGTGTTGATGGCTGCTCTGGGCACAAGGCTTATTTTTGTAATAATGTGCATAATTTACCATTCTTTTGAGGAATGTCCTCTCAGTTAATGTTAATGACGCTATGATAATCTGACACAGCATAAGTCAAGGAAGGGAAGTGTGACTAATGTCTCAGCAGAATGGTAAATTCTGGGACCTTTGGGACAGCCCACAAGGCTATGGGAAAAACTCTAGATATATGAGCTCAAAAACATATTATTTCTCAACTATGCAAAATATAAGGATGTAATATGAATTATGAGAAGCTTCATGAATCTAAAGAAACAAAGGCAGCTGCTCTAATGAGCAAAAAGATACAAAACCAGGCAGATTCCTTAGTTCAAGGTCAACCTGGGTCACAACAAGGTTAGAATTAGGTGTGGTAGAAATGGTAATTTCAAAGCAAGGTCCCACCCAACTAGTTTATTGTCTGTACCTAACAAAGGAAGATAGATTTCTGATTCTTTCGCAATATATATATATATATATATATATATATATATATATATATAT